AGGTGATTAATGTTTGTTTTGAAGTTGTGATTAATTACTTTTACAATGATAACAGGTACGTTAACAAATAATAGAATAAAAGCTTAAAGAAGAGTTCCCTATGTTTCTCATTAGGCTCTTGAGAAATTACTTAATGAAAATTGGTTATTGAATTATCTGTAAGAAGTATGTTCTTGATCACGCTTTAATGGTGTGGAATAGCCTTGAGTAAAGAAAACTGCAGAAAGATAAAAATATCCTATTGTTGTAGGTAATATTTGTGTATGAAAAACAAAGAAAGAAAATTACAATGACCCTATCCAAAAACCAAAAACCAGATCATGCTTGACTTTCTACGTATAAATGTGATCTGGGTTCTAATTTTTATTTAATCCCGGGTAAGGACAACTGACATAGTAAATGTCATCACAGTAGTATGGAGCAACGTCTTACACACATTCATGCTTTTTATGGCTCTTTAATTGCTGTTGACCTATATGTAGTGCTAAGGCATTAACTTTCAACATCTGTGTGCCGCTGATGTTCGTCTTTGTTTTGGACTACAGGCAAAAGTATCAGGAACACATCTTCCTTCGGATGTTATTTATAATATTCTGATTTGATGACCTGATTATGAATGCTTCTTTTCTGAAATAGATGCAGAATACTCAGAAACCAAAATGAAAATATACTATTAATAACATAGAACCTTCAATCTTGCCTAATTATGTCACTTAAAATGCTAAAGATACAGGATGTTTTCATTTCTGGCAGCCCTACAGCCAGAGAAATGCTGTTGCTTGTAAAAATTAATAAACCATAACTTTTCCACTTTTTAACTGTATTTACAGTGATTAGATTTTTTGTGGCAGTCCCTGTTGCTGTTTCAATATTGAGTACCTGCAGTATTGTTATCCTAGTAAAAGAAATAACTATTTCTAGATCAACAATGGCAATTACGAGTTTTCATTTATAGTGAAAAATTGGAAATACTTGTTTTTCCAGAACAGAATAGGTGGTGTTTATAATACAAATCTAGACATCTTCCCTGCTTAAGTATGTTCTGATTCTTATTCTTAGGTTAATTGAAGGGGGAAAATAAAAGGTTATTTCTAAAGGTGCACCTATTAATAGCAGTCACATTGTAAGATTGCACAATAGCATCTCATCCTGAAGTCTTCCCAACATGATGATGGAAATATATATTTCTTGTACACCTCACTGATGTGGTTTTAAACCTTTTCTGAAAAAAATAAACCCAACCCTTTTATTTTCTAATTGATATCTGAGGAAAACAAACTGAGATATCTGAGCATATGAATGATTAATCAAGAAATATATTTCCTCTAAAAATGTGAAGCTTTGAATTTTTTATTATGGTGTGGGACCTTTCACATTTTTCATCAGAAATATATGTAGAGATTACTTGATTTCTTTTATAGGAATGTGAAGATTAGTAATGACTGATTCAAAGCCAGATTTTTGTGTTTGATTAAGATGATGAGATGAAAAATTTTGCTAAGTCTTTAGCTTCTTTGCACCCACATATACATGTCTTTCTAATCAGTGCATTAGTGAATAAATCTAAAATTCACAGCAGCATCACACTTATGTGCAGTTAATGAGAGGTTTGGCTAGGTCTGCTGCAGAGATAAGATTAAAAATTATATGACTTTTTTTCCCTTATCTTCTTCTTCACGCTTCATAGGTACCTTCTACTGTAAAGTTGTCTTCTATTTATTTTCGTCATTTAAGGGTGTATATGTGGGGTTCCGGTAGAGTAAAGAATGACCTTCTATCCTTATATTTTCAGATGCATTGTGATGTTTATTGTTTCACTTGTATGAAATTCTGTGTAGTAACAGGAAATAGTAAGATTAAAAATTAGTTTCATCAACAAAGAAGAACTGGTGTATTTATGGGTTTTTTGAGAATACATGAGGAAGACTAATTTCAAGATGTTACGATTCTAGTACTTCACACTTCTCTATATTGTCTAATTAAATTAATAGAAATGTTTGCATTTATTGGTATTTATGCTTGAAGTACTTTATTGTTTTTTGTCTTGAACAGTATTGAGACTTAATTTCTTATAGCTGCTAAGGAAATTGCATGAATATAGAAAATATTAACTTCTATGTTTTGAAAAAGAGTTGCTCTATTTAATTTGTCTCAGGGGAGAAAGTTAATCTTCTTCACTGGCTCAGTAATCCTGAAAAGGATCAAATCTCTTCCTTTGTGACCCCAAAGAGTTGGATCTTGATATTTTAAAATTCAAAATTTGGCTTTCATGTTCTGTTAGTGCTTCTCAGTGGATCTTGGAAAAAGCAGGTCAGGCATACTGCCAAATCTCAAATGTACTGAAAGTGAAGGGAGTCTACCCCACATTAATCAGCGGTGCAAAAGTCCAGTTGACAGCTAACTCCATGTATCAAAACTTATGTTCTAGATTATTGATGCTCTCTACAGTCTTTATCATATTTTCTGAATAAAATTTTCTTACAAAAATAATGATCACAGTCTCAGTCTCTTGAAAAGTGTATGAATGTTCTTAGCATGAACTTACTAAGAATTATTTATATACCTGGAGACTTCTAGGAAGACAATTCAGTTCCCTATGTGAAGGTCATGTGTTAGCAAGCTTGCATGTTGGCATCATTTGTTTTGTAATTATTACAGTGATAGGCCAAACATCAAGGTCATGGTCAAACAAGGCTGACAAGGAAGAATATATTTGCAAACAAAAATACATAAATAGCTACTACACTTATTTTTCTTTCAATAAAAACTTAAATTTCTTATCAAATCTAGCACCATAGATGTGTCAGGTTCCTTGCTACCTTTGCCTCATGGTACTTCCCCTAGCATCAGGAATAGTTAAAAAGTTGCAATCCACAAGCTTATTTAGTACAAAAAGTCTTTATGGGTTTTAATTCGTTTGGGTTTTTTTGTTTGTTTGCTTGGGTTTTTTGTTTGTTTGTTTTTATTCTCTTACAAAGTTGATATATTTCATCAAAGTTTATAAAACATGTCATCTGCATAGTTTGATCAATACAATTTCACAGGGTAACTTCCCAAGTTTACAGTATAATTTTTTTAATTAAATTTGAATGCATCTTTAACATTACACATTTAACCGTGTAAATTCAAGATTCCTCCAAGAATTGCCATTTATTTCAGAATGTAACAGAATAGAATCTGAGTTTTGGTTATAGCTTTGATATTCATCTATTATACATTATTCTTTTTTATGCCTGTATTTCCTGAAGACTATGGCTTTCCTTTCCAAAAAGTAGTTAATGACAGGAGAAAAGAACTGAAAAAGAGGCTTTGAAGATTTTTAAGACCTCCGTGGCAAAGAATTCAACAGTGTCTAAGTATATAAAAGAAGGGTGTAATAAAGAGGGTGGGGCCGGGCTCTTCTCAGTGGTGCCAAGGACAAGAGACAATGGGCATATACTAACACAAAGGAAGTTCCAGCTGAACAGGAGGAAGAAATTCTCTACTGTGAGGGTGACACGAGGGTGATAAGAGGGCTAGAGCACCTCCTGGATGAAGACAGGCTGAGAAAGTTGGGGCTGTTCAGCCTGGAGAAGAGAAGGCTGCATGGAGACCTCATAGCAGCCTTCCAGTATCTGAAGGGAGCCTATAAAGATGCTGGGGAGGTAGTCTTTGTTAGGGACTCTAGTGGTAGTACAAGGGGTAATGGCTTCAAACTTAAACAGGGGAAGCTTACATATAAGGAAGAAGTTCGTTACAGTGAGCGTGGTGAGGCACTGGAATAGGTTGCCCAAGGAAGTTGTGAATGCTCCAACCCGGGAAGTGTTGAAGGCCAGGCTGGACAGAGCCTTGGGCAACATGGTTTAGTGTGTGGTGTCCCTGCTCATGGCAGGGGGGTTGGAACTAGATGATCTTAAGGTCCTTTCCAACCCTAAATATTCTATGATTCTATGACTCTATGACTGAGCATTAGAATAGGTTGTTCAGAGAGCTTGTGGAGCCTCCTTCCCTGGAAAGAGTCATGAGTCATCTGGGTATGTTCCTGAGCAATGTGCTTTAGGTCATGCTGCTTGAGCAGGGAGATTGGAATAGATGACCCCTAGAGGTCCCTTCTAGTCTCAACCATTGTGTGATTCTGTACTTCCAACAGTGCTACTTCCTTCACGTGGTGTACTAATACTTTTTTTTTCTTTTTTTAAGCTTTGAATGATAAATGATACATTCTCTGTTACAGGTCTTCACTTGTGAAGATATTTTCAGTTGTAATCGAAGTTACTTAAGTTCCTCTTAGGTAAAACTAATGTGCATCAATTTATTTAGAAACAGAATTTGCTTGAATATGGGCAATGGAACATGCTTCTTGGATACATTCAGAGATTGCAGGAAGTGAAGAATGATGGAAGGTGAGTTCTGTAAGTCATGAATGGGTTTGAATGTGATTAGTTACAAAGAAATACTATGTAAGTTACGATGTGAATATAACTTGATTTTTAAAATGTGAATTGATTGCCTGCAGTAGGGATAATGGAACGTAGCCAGAGATTTTTCATAATAATTCTCAACATCTTCTAATTACCGAATCAATTATGAAAATACATGTATTGGCTTGATGATATACAGTTACACAGAGGGAAAAGCTAGTTTGATTACAGTATATTTAAAACTCAGGAAATATACTAAGAGCAAGTAGTGGCATACGAATCCACCCAAAGTGGAAAATATTACTTTTGCTCAAGTACTGTGATTAGAATAATTAACTTAAGCTTATATATAATATTTGGAGGACTGGAATCACAGTCTTCAGTTTAGAATGGTAGGGAGAAAGAAAAAACTGAATAAAGCAATACTTAGTGAAGAAAATATGGAAAAAGTTTTATGTTGCATAAATGGCCTGTACTTAAAAGAAAAATGTGGGTTTAGTTTTGATAAAGCCTGACCAATGAGAATCTTTTTCAAGTTACTGTGGAGTGGTCTTAATGCTGTAAATAATCCTGTTGGCCAAGTCCCAGTACAGTGCAGATGAGAAAAGGATGCAGGAAATTCTGTTGTTTACACATGTGTCTGTAACACTGAGAAGCAAGAGGAGCCCAGCAAACTCGGAGGGTAAGGGCTCTTAAGCATGTGGGTTTGCTGTTTAATTTTTATATCTCTCTTTAGGGACAAAGTATGAGTTACTATCATGCTGATTGTAAGAAGGAAAACAATCTGAAATACCCAGTAGAAGTATTGAAGATCAGAAAACAGTATTTGAAATACATGGCTAAGTCAGATTTAGCTATATTTTTCTCTTCTATCCTTTTCACTGGAGTGAAAGGGAGTGTTAATTCTAACACCCCACTAAATATAGCTTGTTTTTCAGATGTAATAGGATCCTTACTTACCATAGCCAGGTAAGTTTTCAAAATCTTGAAGTGGCAGTTTGTTGAATTATTATTTCTTATTTTTTATTTAGAAATCAGTATAAATGCAGAAAGTTCAAGGGTTATACTGTTTCAATACCGAAAACCTTTTATAAATCACTATGTTAAAGGCATCTACAATAGGGTAAACTAGTAAAGCTTTCATAACTTTTAATCATTCTTGGCATTATGAACATGTGTCATGAGGATATTGTTATGAATTTGCAGTAGTTCATATTGGGGTTTTTTTGTTGTTTTCACAGTGTTTCTATTTTCATAAATTACACTAATGAGTTACATAATCCTAATTTCCTTCAGAAAATACCTGATGATAGGATAAGAAAAAAGAGTGTTCTTAGCTATATGATACTGTTCTAATGCAATGAATTATGATTTATTGATACTATGACTTGTTGATGCTAGATAAAGATATATATTTTGCATTATTTGAAAGGCAAATATCTCAGATGGTTTAAGACTGTATTGATGATCCGTTCCTAATGAGAACCAAGGGACAAATTTCAAAAGTAATGTTGATGAGTTTAATAAACATATATAACAAATAGTATTAACAGACCTCCTTCTGACTATTCAGATAGCTGCATTTTGTCTGTCTCCATTCTCACTGATTCTTTTTTGCTAGAAACCTAGTTTTTGTTTTTGATTACCTATGTTAGAAAATCTACATTCTTTCAAGTTTCTGAATACAATTCTTTGCATAATATAATGAACATAAAAGAATTTCTGTAATTTATTTGGTATAATTAATAGAACTAGTCATATCTCTCTGTCATGTACCCTTCACAGAGAATTCTATGAAAAACTTAGAGAAAAATGTAAAATTAAGAAGTCTGTCCTTTTTATGTATTTACATGTAGCCAGTTTTGAGTTGAGGCCACTCTGTCACCTTAAAGTATTAATGTTAACCTCAAGTAGATCTGAGAAATAAATAATTAGAAAATGAATAATCTAAAGCAGCTGGTAATGAACAGCCATTATACACTGTCATTGACTTCAGCATCAAGAGGTTTATATCTTGGAATCATTTGAAATGTACAAATTTGATATTCTACTAGTTGACTCTTCTGTGGGTTGACAAGACTAGGAAATGTTACCCACTTCCTTCTGTCTGAAAAATAATATTCAAAACAAAGTATGTCAAAGGAGCCAAGCTGAGTAACCAGTACTTAGACAATTAATTTCTTCTCTTTTGGTGGGACTACCCGATGGCCTACTGTAGGCAGTGAGAGAATAAATAGTTATGCTTCTTTATGCATTTAAGTGACCTCTAGGCTACAACACATGGTAATTTGTGGATTCTTTCATGTGGCCACTCTAGGAACTGTAGAGCCATGGCTTATGTGACAATATGAATTATTTCTTAAGTACACTTTCCTCAAAGAAGACTTAGTGGAGTTGGAGTCATCACCAGATGCTATCTTATTAAATCCCTCAAAGGAGTCCTTGAAATGTTGAAAGACATAAAATGGTGCTGAAATACTAAATACTAAAGAATAGTCACTAATTATAGAAGAAATTCCCTCTAAAACTATTCTAATAAAACTGAACATGTCTCTGCACAATAGAATCATCAGTTCTAATAGAACTTAGAACTGTATCAAAGTAGTTGAACAAGCCAAAGGGATAGGCTCTGATGCAGAGGAAACAAAATATTCATGAGCATTCTTACTTGTCTGCTTATGTGGGTGGGACAATCACTTATTTCCAGATTGACTCTGAGTAGTGTTTTGAAGAAAAATTGTTCTGTGTCCAAAAAAGCATTGGAATGTTTCATGTCTTTGTCTGAAACAATGCATCAGATATCTGTGATTAGTTTTCCCTACTCCCAGTGTTATGAAATTGCTTTTGAAAGTAGGTCATGTTTTGATTAGAAGAAGATCATAAACGTTTTCAACTATAACAAGACAATTCTTAATCTCTTATATCATAAAATTTCAGATTTTGTCACAATATAAACAGGAATTAAAATCTTGACTTTTTCAGGGACATGCCTTTATAGCTTCACATATTGAGAACAAAATTAAAAAATCCCTCAATGTTGTTTTGTTACTAAGCAAAAAAACCTGTAAATGAAAGTGAAGCCATCCAGTTTAAAGTAGCATTTAAAAAGTTGTCAGAAATGTGGTATAAACCCTAGAAAACAGAATTTTGATGATTTTTATGTAAGTAGTGAAGCTTCTTTATACATTTAAATGGCCTCTACTATTTGGATGGACAGGTATTAGAATTGTGTCTGACCTAATTCTTGTTCAGTAAAGTGCTTTTCAGAGTGGTTGAAGAAGTCTGTTTTCAGTTGCCTTTTTCAACTTTATTTTGAAACTGAAAAGAGCCCAGCTGACCTGATCTATAACTCTATGTGAAAAACATGGAGGGGGGGGGGAAACAAAAGGAAAATAAACCCAAACCCACAGATCTTTGAAGTCCTCAGTGCCATTCGGGAGTAACTGAACATCTTAAATTTTGGCTATACCAAATAAGAACTTACGGAGGCTCTCACAGAGAGATTGATTTTTATTTTAAAATAAATAAATAAAGAAATAAAAACATTAAATAGTAGAGTGCTAATGTTAGCAGTGGCTGGGAAAGGAACCTAGCCATTGAGAATCTGACATGGTACAATGGAATTTGTTTTAAACGGTTTACTCTAAGTTTATTTAAAGCTTGTTTGCAAGTATTTATGTTTCAGATATCTTAAACTGATTAACAAACACCCTGGTTAAACAGCTGGATGAAATGTTTTTAGCTTTTTTTTCTTCTTTGACTTGTAACTTACAACTGGCTTAAGTGCTTGCAAATTTTAAAAAAAACTTCTAAAACCAATTATGAATGACATGCTTAAAAGCAGATCTAATCTTGTGGATGATGTATGTCTTGGATATTATTCCCATACTTTTCCTTTTATCCAGAAAAAGGTCAGAGCAAATCCATGAAAGATATTTGTCTGTGTCATGTTAAAGGAGTGTCTGTCAGTATAAGCAAGATATGTGTGTACTGGCTGAGCTGCATATTGTGTATTTACACACTGACAACTCTATGTGGAGTCCTTTCAGATTTTCTGTTGTTGACTGACAGCTGGTTCAGATGCAATTGAGCTGAGCAATGTAGTAAGTTACCTGCTTAGCCTTCGTATCTCCAATAACGGGGATATGACACCTTTAGCACTGCTGTTCATTTCAACATGCAGTAAAAACATTTGTCACATTAAGCACACTAACTTCCTCTGCTTTCTGTGGAAACAGAGGAGGAAGACTCATGCACTTGGTTATTCTTTACCTCAGCTGTGGAACTGATGGGAAAAAAAAAAATTGGAAACCATTTTAATGGGATTAAGAGCAAATCTCACTGTGTCTGAAGAACAAGATGCCCAGGTGCTTTCATAAATCGAATGAAGTGTTAATTTGCATCTTTACCCATAAGCATTGAAAAAAGATAGTGTTTCAGTATACTGAACTGATATTAACTAATGTGAAACCTATTCCTCTGAAGCAATTACTTGTTTCAATTTTGAAAGCAGGTTACTATTCTAAAAAAAATCTCTTTATGCTATTCAGGAGATCCTTATTAGACCAGACTTTTAAGTGATAGGAATTTGTTTGAATGAATTTAACATTGCCTTAGTTTAAATACACTCTGAATTTGTTATGAAGTAATTATTCATAGCCTGTCTTTCCTAATAATCATGCAGGGCATCATTCAGACAATAAAAGTAGATTACCAATCTCCACATAGAATCAATGAGATGAGATTAGAACTCAGGTGAGCTTTTTAGTCCAGAAGTTTACGCTGGGTTTTGTAAACTTGTTTGTAAGTTGTGTAACCTGTACAGATCTAAAACTTTGGCAAATCATACTTACCCTAATTGCCTCAGAAGTTGATTTTACCTCTTTTTTTGCATTAATCATATCCTAATTGTCCTGGGTTCAGCTTAAACCACGACACTAATTAAAGTGATAAGCAACATCAAAGAAGAGCTAGCCAGGCAAACTCTTGTATCTTATAAACCACAGCTAGCTAGTTAAATTGACTTAAGCTTGTATTAGCTTCTGCTTAATACTTAGTTCTGTTTGTGACTCTCCAGCAAAAGCTGATCACTTCACACATGTTCCCCTCCCCCCTGCATGATCTGATTATATAACTTATTGTTTTAAGTGTGGTGACTGAGAAATGAGTATCAATTCTATAGACTCAAATGTATAAAAATTATGGTCAATACATTAAGAAGATTTGTAATCAAACCAAAACATTCCTGGGGAAACTAAGTTACTGTAAATTTTACCTAAAACAGTACTTCAGAGCTTCTTTTGGCCTTGTGGGTCACAAATGACAACATCTGTATGTACAAATATTTGTTACACATATTTAACCCTGAGGATTTGAATACAACTTCAGATGTGAGAAACCATCAGCTTCTCTATGCAAAAGATTTTAGAAGATATTGCAATGATATGTAACGAGTTGTGTTAGCCAGTAGACCTAAATCACAATAAATATATAACACTGGTTCTTATCTTGAAGTAGTAACGAAACGCTTAGAGTTTATTGGAAGTGGCAGCCAGAAAAAGGAAAAAAAGTGTAGAATTTGCTTATTTTTTGAATTTATTGTAATCTGTGACTACCTTCCAAGTTATCTTTTTTTTACGAATGTGTATGTGTACAATAGGTATATAATTTGTATAATATTAT